CTCCGGGGGTCACGGGATGTCTCCGGGGGCCACGGGCTGTCTCCAGGGGTCACGGGCTGTCTCTGGGGGCCACGGGCTGTCTCCGGGGGTCACGGACTGTCTCTGGGGGCCACGGGCTGTCTCCAGCAGCCTCAGGCAGGCTCTGACCGGCCATGCTTTCCTTGCAGTACATGGATATGAGCAGAACGCTCGGGACGCTGATGAACATCAAAGAGCTGTCGGGCCACGTATCCATGAAGCACCTGTCCCCCAAAGAGAGGGAGAAAGTCAACCGCCTCCGGCAGAAGGACCTTGACCTGGTGTTCGAGAAGATCACCCAGCTCAAGAACCGGCTGGAGAGGAAAGAGGAGCTGTTGAGAGGATACGAGAAAGACATCGAGCAGCTCAGGTACCATCTGGACCCCCAGGGAAGGCCCAGGCCTCCACCCCACAGGCCAAGGCCCCGCTGCAGCAGATACCTAGGAAGGGGGGGTGGGGGGCACAGAGGCCCAGGAGTGGAGTAACGGGAACACTGGGGAAGGGCGGGGGCTGGGGGGCGCTCAGGAGTGGCACCCCCAACACTCTCGGTCTTCCGCTTCCTGTGCGCTCCCGCGAATAAGCAGGGCCTCTGTGCATTTTGCCTCACGTCCACCACGCCTGTCCTTTTCATAACCCAGCATAGTTCCAGCAACCGCACTTTGCCCACCTGCGCTGGGACCCTGGGGTGGGGGCTCAGGGCATGGCCCCACTTGATGCTCCTCTGCCCCCTCTCCCTGGATGTTTGTTCTTTTTTCCCCCAAGATTTATTATTTATACAGAGTACAGGGGTACGGGCCAGAGGTGCAGGGGTGAGAGGCTTCACCAGAGACAGAGCGGGGAGCAGAGCAGGCAGATGGACGATGCACTGCTGAGGGAAGCAGCGGGGAGACAGGAGAGGTCTTTGCCTCGCCATGTGGGTCACTCCCTGGCCGGGGATCAAACTCACGCTGTAGTGGCTGCAGACAGCTTCACGGCGCTGCGGTCAACCAATCACCCCACCAGGGAGGCCCTCTTCGTGGGTCTCTCCCGCTTTGCAGGGAAACCGCTAATTTAACCAAGAACTTAGAGAATCTCCCAGGTCGGGACTGGATGGGGAGTGGGGGAGAGGAAGACTACAAAGACCATCTGTCACCCGCTCAGGCTAAGCAAAGTGTCGGTCCAGATGTACCAGTCGCAGGTGGCGAAGCTGGAGGACAGCATCTACAAGGAGGCGGAAGAGAAGGCCCTGCTCAAGGAGGCCCTGGAGAGCACGGAGCAGCAGCTGTGCCAGGAGAAGAGGCTCAACAGGGCCATGAGGCAGCAGAAGGTGAGCGGCACCCCGTGGAGGCCGGCAGCCCCAGAAATGAAAGTAGCCGGATGTGGTCTGCAGAGCCTCCCCGCTCTGAATAAAACATCACAGGCCTCCGTCTGCGTGAGTCCTGGGGCTGCCTCCCCGGACAGCCTCCTTTCACACCCCTGGCGCCAGACGGGGCTGGGCCAGCCTCCGAGCTCTGGCTTCCCTTTGAGGCGCCCTCTGGAGACCTCAGCCTTCCCGAGAGAGGCTCCCCCACCAGAGCTTGGCAGGCTAAGATCCAAAGGGGAGACACCAGACCACAAAATGGGGCCCGCAGAGGGGCCAGAGTGGCCATTGTCTTGAGCTGGCTGGGAGTGTGAGAGAACCTGAGGATTTGCATAATCAGGCCTCACATGCATTATTCACGCTGCATCTCCACACACATCGCACTCAGGGCGGTGAGGCGGCCTGTTCCTTCCCTGGAGAAGGCTCTCAATGGCCAGGTTGAACCTGCGTCTGGGTCCCCAGAATAGCTGGAGCTGGAGACATGCAAATTCAAGGAACTCACGATTTAGAGCACCGTCTCTAAGGAGGGCAGCCACCGTCACCCACACTTGACACACTGCCAGGGGGCGCTTGCTGGAGGCAGGTACCTGCCCGCACTGCACACGTCTTCTCTCCCAGCAACCCTGCAGGGACCTCTGGACCATGTCAGTCCACTCCAGAGATGGGCAAACTGAGGCTGACAGAGATAACATTAGCTAGTTACTCAGCAGCAGAGGCCAGACTCCTGCCCACACCTGGGCCTCCAGTCCATGTGTTCCCTTCCACGCCCATCAGCCTCCACACCTCGCCCCTCAAGCTGCCTCCCTCATCCTCCACTCACCGTTTCTCCCGGGGTCTCATACCAGGGTGCAGGTTTGCGTTTATGATTTGTTATTAAAATATTGTGAGAAATCCATTTGTCTGGGGCAGAGGATACATTTTAAAGTGTTGCTGTATTCCAGAGGGACCTCGTATACCTCTGTCCTGGCCTCCGTTTTTTCCAAAGAGTGTATTTTCATAGAAATTAAAGGAATACAGACTTCCGCTTTTAAAATTAAAGTAATACATCTAATACTTTCACAAGGAGGCTTAATTTTTTTTTTCCAGTCTCCTGTGTGAGATTTCACCCTTTCACAGAGATCCGTTGGTTGAAGCACTGGGAAATGAAATTACCATGAGCTTCAGAACCACCACCACCCACCCCCCACCCCCCAGAAAATATATGCCTGGTGTTAACATTTGAACATTTCTTCGCCAAGCAGAACTTTCCAGAATCACAAGTCCTACGTGCAGACTACTACCTCTGGCTGTGAAAATGCTGGGGAAACCTCGGTGCATTCATGGGGAAACTTGTGGTCCCTGGCCTCTTGGCTGGGAAATGCCCTGGGTCTGTGGGGACACGGCCCAGGCTGTGCTCAGTCTAGACCGTTTCCCATTTCACTGGACAAGGTGCAGTATCTCTCAGAATTCAGTGATAAGCTTCGAGTAACAGTGGTCAAGTCCCATGTTCGGGCCTGAGTGACCCCGAGCAAGAAACCTGACTGCTTATCTCAGGTTCCTCAACCACCCTACGCGCTAAGAGACCCACTTTGTGGGCACCAGGAGGGCTGAGTGGCATAATGCCTGCAGTGCCTGGCACGGGGCAAACTCGTTACTATGGGGGAAAGAAAAGGCAGCTCACGGGTGGAGGGGAGCGATCCCCACATTTCTTTCAGAGAACTTCCTGCCAGCTGACATGTTCTCAGCCCCTGAGATGCCTTCCCGGCTCTCCTCCCAAAGCCAGCAGCTCTTTTGTGAAAATCTTTTCTATTTGGTGAATACAAGTCGGACCGCCAAGAAAGGGCCCAGAGACTTTGTGTGGCGGGTTAAGGCTGCAGATCTCAATAGGAAATGTTTAGATGCACAGAGGCTGCCATGTGAGAAGTAGGCAAGCCCTTTCTTGGCCTTTTGCTGGGAGCTCAAGTAGGAGAAAGGACGGCAGGCGCCTGCAGCTTCCCGCTCTTGCCCAGAAGCCCTGGGCTCACTTCCGGCCTCCAGCCAGTCATGGCGTGGCGTGTGGCCACAGCTTTGATGCGTGGTCCCCCAGGCTGGCTGGAGCCCCTGACTGCCGCCCCTCAGTGTGTTAGCCCAGATTCCTCATCTTTAAGATGAGAGTAAAAATGACGACTCGGTGATAGCCTCCCATTCAGTGAGCACGTCCTCAACAAAGCCACACAGAGCTCGCAACACACCCAATGCCAGCATCATCCTATCCCTGTGCTATTTAACTCACTATCTTCCAGCATTTTTTTTTAAGATTTATTTATTTGTGCATACAGAACTGGGGTACAGGCCAGAGGCTCAGGGGCGGTGAGAAGCTTCACCAGAGACAGTGTGGGGAGCAGAACAGGCAGGTGGACGAAGTACACTGCTGAGGGGAGCAACGGGCGGGTCAGGAGAGGTCTGCCGCGCCGTGTGGTCACCTCCGGGGCAGGTGGGAATTGAACTCATGTGGAAGCGGCTTTAGATTCTCAGTGCTGTGCTTTAACCCACTGCGCCGCCAGGGAGGGCCACTATCTTCCAGCATTTTCTTGGGTCGAGGTAATCTCCAGATTCGGAGTGCCGCTAATATGTTTTTTTACCAGAGTAGAAATTGGTACTGTTGTACAGGATGAGTGGAGCAGCTTGGGAATGTCCTCTCCAACTCATACAAGAATGAAGCAGTAAAATGTGGCTAGGGTCCGGCAGCCTAGGGATGGGAGCTGGCTGAAGGAGAACACCCTCTTGCCCTCATCTTCTCCCCACCAATCCCAGTGAGGCCCCAGTCTCCTCCACACCCCAGAGGTATGTCGCAGAAACGGACCAGGAAGGACCCATTAAACATTCTCTTGCCCACCTGGTATTTTCACTCAGGAACCTTTAGAAGATCAAGAACGGAAACATGCAAAAGAATCAACACCTTCCAACTTCTCCTTCAAAGAGAAAGAGAGGCAGGTATGAGGGTTCTTTTGATCTTGCAGTCAGACACAAGGTAGATACAATATGTTCAAGGTTAATAGGGTATAAATGCCAGGGCTTGCCGAGAAGGAATTGCCAGCATGTCCGCTCCCTTCCCCTGGCCCTCCCCCTTCCCACCTACAATCTGAACAAAATCCCAGGAGACCAGCAAGCGTCCACCCCAGGGTCTTGCGGAGAGAAGGCAGAGGAGACATGCTAGTGTCTTCTTGTCTGGAGGGAGACCCACCCCAGGCACTAACTGATTTGGGCACTTGAACAAAGTCCCCCCAGAAAGAACATAGGAAGTGTGGGAAGTCCTAGGAACCTCTGCCCTAAGAAATAAAGGATGAAAGACAGGAGAGGCAGAGGAAAGTGAATACAAAACCCAGGAACGCGGATGGATGAGCCAACCAGACACACTTCCTCCCCTGCCGAGGGAAGCCCCGATTGTCACAGGCTTTCTGGTGACCACTGGGGGGTGGAAAGGCCAGCCTGGCCCAGAGTGCAGTGTCCCACTTGACAGATAGATGTGATGTTCAGAAGTGTTCATTGCACAAAGACGACCCTGGACACTTCCCCCAGACACACTGTGTGATATAATGCACAGCCTTCCTGACAGCAGTGTTGGCCAGCCCAAGTCTGAGAACAGCCTCATGTCATCATACCCGAGTGAGGGCAGAGTCTGGCTCTGCCCCTTCAGCACTCACTGTCCACTGATTAGACTTAATCCAGGAATATATTTTGGAGCAGTGTTCAAACTGGGGTTCCCTGGAACCCTTGGGTGCCCTGCAATAGTGTCTTTCTCAACATCCTTACACTCACATACACACATTGCTGAGAAGACTTAGAGCTCACAGGCTTAAAACCCCTGTCTCAAAAGACAGCCATGAATTTTGAGAATGTTCAATAGGGTTGATAAATGTGGGGAAAACAAGTCAAAACAAAGCAGAATGCCCATTTAAAACTGAATTTCTGATAAACAATAGTCCCTGAGTTAAGTGTATCTAAAATGTTGCATGGGACATACCTATACCTAAAAATTATTAGGTTTCATTCTGAAATCCCAATTGAACTGGCATCCTACATCTTATCTGATGACCCCACCCGCAAATATTTACCGACGGTGGGTGGAGGGCTCTGAAGTAAATGAGGCAAGATGGCCACCCACAGATGTATTTCATTTCGTTCATGGGAACTTTTATTTATTTTTTTGAAAGCGTTTCAAAATAGGACACTTCCGTGGGACACTGGAAAACCAGGCAGCTCTGGAAACACTAGGTCCACAATCTCATGACCACCATCTTCCAGGCCACCTAGAAAGCCCCAGCTGGTGGGCTCACTGGCCCTCTCCACCCACTGCTATAAGCCTCAGGCTGGCACCCCGGAGGGTGCTCAGAGCACGCTGGGAATGTCCTTTCCCAACACCCTGCCGAGTGTCAGCCTGCGAGAGAGACCCCAGCTCTCTCTTCAGGGGAATCTCTCTCTGCAGTGAATTGTCCTTGAGGTGAGGGTCTGGAGGAGACTGGACTCAGCTATAGCACTCAAATCCCAGGATAACAGGCTCCTGGACTCATCCCCTAACAGGAGATAGTACAGCCTTGGTCGTCCGGCCTGGGCCCTAGGCATGCTTGGATGGAATGTTCTGGACATCTCTGACCTCATCTGCTGACTCGAGAGGTGCTTCCAGCTAAAGCGATGGGTCTCCCAAGGAGAGCACAGTGTTTCTCGCCAGCTCCTCAGTGTGCTGGCCCCCTCCTCACCGATTCCTCTGGAGTCTAGAACAGAAATGCTCAGCCACACCCCCTTCTGCAGACCCACAGTCTCAACCCAACCCCACCCCAGTCCCTAGGAAGGCCCAATGTGTCAAACAGGTAGCGCCTGAAAGTTGAGGAAAATTCAAATGTCTTTGATGCTAAAGGCAGAAAAGAACATGAGCTAAATTTTGTCACTGTTCTTTCTATATTAAAGAGACAAATGTTTGTAGAGATGGTGAAGAACAAGATGCAGAACTCGAATTTCCAGGTGAGCCAGAAAGAGTAGAGGAGAAGAGTGGGGTCTGGGGAGCAGCCTCAAACCCAGGTCACAGGACGCCCCATCTATTAAGTCCCGGTCAGTTGGCACTGTGGGGCACCAAGCTAAGACCAGTGGGAACCCCCACTCATCTCCGCAAGGACGCGGGGGCGGGTCTCGCTTTATCATCAGTTTACAACGAAGTATCTGAGGCTCAGAGACTTTTGTTTGCTCAGAGCCTCACAGCCTCTTAGGAGAGTCACAGTGGATGCAACACTGAGGTGGAGACGCAGCTTGACCTCCTGTAGGTAACAAGCTGATGCATTTCAGGTGGCCTTGCTCTTGCATTTCAAGGACACATCCGTGGAATCCTCTTTCTGAAGAGATGAGAATCCAGACTGAACTCTCTCAAACATATGGAAACTCTGCCCTTCACAGCTCAGCCCTGGAACTGGAATTGTCCCTGCCTGCTTTCCCACTTTGCACCAGGTGCTCTCTCGGGGAGCTTGCACACTGAGCGCATGTTGGTTGAATAAGAGATGTGATATATTCAAATTTGATAAAAGGCTGCGATCATTCTGAAACCACCAAATTGTCACTGGGAAAAACTAAAGCTATTCCAGGACATTCTGGAAAACAGAAGCCTCTTCTCAACCAACACCATCGTTCTAACACCTTCTAAAGCAGGAGGTTACAAAGGCGTTGGGGCGTCCCTAGAGCCCCCCACATCTGAGATCTTCTTCATCCCCTACAAAGTGGGAATTGGTGAGAGACATGGCCCTTTTCTCCCAAACATATATGGCTGAGGGGCAAGCAGGCAGCTCCCCTACAGCTGGGTTGTGTCTGAAGACCAGCAGGGATGTGAGAGGCCAGAGCGTGGAGTTTTGAGGTCTGGGATCCCCTTGGTCCTGAGGGGTCTCCTCCAGTCCCTGCAGAGTGCAGCGTGGGGTCTACCCCCTCTCCCGCACACCTGGTGCCCCTGGGCATTGGAGTCTTGGTGCCCGCTCATAAAAGAATCTCCTTCACCAGTAGCTTCAGGATTGGCCTCTCCTATCTTTTAGGGTCATGTGGTGGTTTGCTCCTGTCCTCCAAAATGCCCCTCATCAACTGCATTTTCTTTTTCCATTGCAACTGGAAATTGCATTGGAATTGTCAGTAGTCTGCCAAAGAAGAAAATCCAGTGAGCAAATCTGTACTGAACATCCACTTTAGGCCACACACGGTGCCAGGCGCTGGGCTACAAGAGTGAGCAGCCCCTCACCCAGTCACAAATATTTACTGAGTCCGCAATGCTGCAGGTGCTGCCCAGGTGTTGGGCTCCGAGACAAATTCTCCATGGGGCGATATTAGCCGAGGGCAACCATTGTTTGTATGTATAAGGCACTAGTGTACATACAAGGCTTTCTGCAATACTAAATTGCCGTGGGGGTAGAGCAATTAGGAGAAAATAGCTGAGAAAGCGGCTTAGGAGAGGATGATCATGAAATAAAGGTTGGGCAACACTAGGGTAGATCAATGAAGACACCCACAAAAGTCCCTGCCTTTCTGGTTTATGATCATGGGTCATAAAACAAAAGGTAAATATAAGTAATGGATATAAGTAATGGCTAAATACAAGTGAACATAATAGTGATGAAATAATGACCATGTACAAAATGTTTTGAGGACAAAGGCCAGTGGGCTGAGCACAAGGACCCACCCAGTCCAGGGAACCACCCAGTGCAAGGGTCAGGAGAAGCCTCTCCGAAGACCAGCTGAGATGCAGGGAAGGCGGCGGATCTTTCTAGAACGAATGCTTGCACTTGCCTGGAACAGCCACTCTGCTACTTCCTGACTAGGTTTCCAGTTAATTTCCAAGCTTCCAGTGTGGGTGTCACTGTTGAAACGCCCTTTCATGCTAAGGTGGGACTCAAAGCTCCAAACACCTAGGCTGGATGTGTGGGGCTCACATGTGGCCACAGGTTCAGGGTGGATGCAGCCAGCCCTCCCCAGCCCTGACATTTGCATTTCCATGGCTCACTTTGCCCAAATCTTCCTCCTCCCAGACCAGCCACCTCTGTGCTTTCTGAGGCCCTGAACTTGTCACTCCAAAAAGCAGACCGAAGCTTGCTCTAGCAGACCTGGGGAGGCAGATCCTGGGGACAAGAAGTCTATTTTTTTTAAATAATATAACAAACTGTTATAAAATTAAAAAAATTAAAAATGGAAGTACCCCAAAAAAAGAAAAAACTAATAATAATAACAGTTTACTTTTACATCATTTTTTTGCCTTTTTCCATCTCAGTTGCCATCCCTGTGGGCTTCTCATCACTAAATCACCCATGTGCCATCACCACAGTCCAGTGCACTCCCTCCCCCCACCGTCCAAGGAGTCTGTTTTTGACAAGTCTCTGGCTCCTACTCTGGTTGCCCACCCCAGACCAGGTCAGGGCGCTGGCGTTTGGGAAACATCCCAGCCAGCAATTTTGCTGAAGAGCAAATAAAAAGGGATCTAAAGGAAAGGTGGTTTAAAGGGGAAATATGTTCCTCGCCAGCTGTTTTCGCGCTCCCTGGATGTTCCATGCAGCAACTATTTAGTGGGCTAGTGTGGAGAGGTTAGTCTCTCACCCCAAAATTACTCTGATTGCAGAGTCTCAAACACATTCAAGGCTCCTGTCAGCCGCTGGCACAGTCTCCAGAGATGATTTTTAAACTTGTCTTTGAAGTGAAAGAGTTCAAGAAATGGTCCTAACAGCCACCACAGTGAAATCCACCCAGAGCCCCTCTCAGCCCCAGGGGAGACAGGAAGGACATTATTTGACAGAGGAGGAAACCTAGGGTCTCAAAGTAAGAGACAGAGCTCAAGCCCCCACCTCTTCCTCCCGGGGCTGGGGTGTGGTCATGACTGGAATAAAGATCAGGTGTGGGGTTGGTTATTTCAACATTGTTGGAAGGAAATTTCCACGTCGTAGTTGTGTCTGTAGTGTGTACAGAGTGGGTGAGGGATTCTGGTGGCAACAACTAGAAACCTGTTCGGAAAGAGGAAGGGGGCTTCTGTGAGAATACAGGAGTGAGGGTCTCCGAAGAAGTACTCTCATTCTAAAGAGAACTGGTAAACCATCAAGTCCCAGGCATGTGTGCACACGTGTGCATATATGTATGTGTGTGCAAGCATGTGTGTTGCAGTCTACGTGTGTGCATGCATGTACATCTGTGTGTACTGCGTCTACACGTGTGTGCACAGGTGGTATGTGTTCGTGCGTGTGTGTCCATACGCACGCGTGTGTGCACATGCCCACACACACAATGCCGCCTCTGCATCCCTCAGCAGTTCTGCCGAGCTCATCTCTCTGCAGTCAGGTAACAGAAAGGAATGAGCTCATGGTGCCCTGATTCAAAGCACCAACCCAGGGGGCCAACAGCAGCTCAGAGCCCATGATCTGAGGCGTGATCATCAGAAAAACTCGCCCTGTGCCAAGCGTGGGGTCACACATATGGCCGCATGGTGGGGGGCAGGAAGGGAGAGCGGTGCCCAGAAAGTGTTAGAGAGACCTCCTCCAGGAGTCCCCGTTCTCTCCTTCACCAGAGACATAAGACGTACTCGAGTCAGTAAAGCTTTTCAGGAGAAAGAAGCCCCCACAGTGATTGTGCCCCTCTTCAAAAGCTGCTGGCTTCAAGATCATGAAACTATAAAGAGGGAAGACTGTCTGCTTGTCTGCAAAGAGATGCAGCAAAATAATAATGCTAACTTGGGGCAGTGAGATAATGGGGAACCATGTTATCTTTTGCTGTGTGTATGTGTAGATAACACACACATGTATTTCTACAGCAGCATATTTGTTGTATTTTGTGTTAAAATTTTAAGTCCAATATTTTGGGACCTCATTGCAATGCTAGTTTGTGCATTTGTGTTTCTTGCTCTTTGAAGGTTGGAGCCAGAAAAGTCACCGCAAAGATGGACCAAGAAAGAGAGACGCTGAAGAAAGAATCCCCCGGCAAATCCACCCAGAGCCGTCCGTTTCCTAAGCCTGCTGGAAGGAACTAGAAACGCTGCCCTGCCCAGCCTCCGTGGCCCTCCGTGAGTCCGCATGACGCTTCTGTGTCAGAATACTGAGAAGCTTTTGTAAGACTTTAAAGGTTGTTACCTTCACGTGTTGCTTCCTAGGCTGGTATTTTGCACAGCGGCGTATTCCAGAGTGCGCGGGACAATTCTTTTAAAAAACACCTCCAGGCGTAAATACACTCAGGCATATGAGCAGACTCCTAGGCCTGACAGATCCAACTGTATAATTCCAGGTTTGAGTCGTGATGTCCTCCACGTCACACCTCTGGAGAGCTCCAAGCAACCCGGAGTTGAGAACCCCACAGCCGAGTCCCGGGCCACAGCACAGAATGCTCAGCTCAGGGCTGTTGGGGCGTAGTGTGGACATTCATCTCTGGATTTATCATAATAAATTTGGAAGCAAATCTATGTTGCCACTTCTGTAATAATGTCGAATATTTACGCAGCACTCCGCGGTTTCCAAAACACTTCTCATGTAAGCCTCCCACACCCAGGGAGGCAGATAGTACTGTCTTCCGCTCTGTACAAAGGAGACCCAGAGAGGTTAAGTCATCAGCCTGAAGTCACACAGCTAGTGAAGGCAGGAGTCTGGAACCCGGGTTTCGAACTCCATCTTGCACTGCCTGTTTTGAGGTACCGAGATGGCCATAGCATTCCCGTCCCATAGGTCAGACTAAGACCCAAGCACCCAAGAACACACACGGCCTGGGAGAGCACAGCCACTTTTCCTGGTGCTCAGAGACACCTCATCTTTCTTGCTCTACTTTCTGCCCCTCCTGTGGCCTCTCTCCTCCACCCTTCCTCCCACTGACTTTGCTGTCAGAAAAGGATGGCTAAAAAAAGGGAGGAGGGGGAGAATAGCCAGAAGTCATGACTATCATTTACTTTTTTTTTAAGTCACAATAAAAAAAGATTTATTTATACTGATTAAAATGTTTTCTTTATACTGATTAAAACTGTCAGGAAAGGCCCTCCCTGGTGGCGCAGCGGGTTAAAGCACAGCACTAAGAAGCTTAAGCCACTGCCGCATGAGTTCGATCCCCACCTGCCACATGGCGTGGCAGACCTCTCCTGACCCGCCCACTGCTCCCCTCAGCAGTGTGCTTCATCGATCCGCCTGTTGTGCTCCCCACTCTGTCTCTGGTGAAGCCTCTCGCCACCCTTGAGCCTCTGGCCTGTACCCCAGTTCTGTGTGTACCTTGTTGGCTGACCATGTGTATTGAACCTGTATACATACAACAGACTGATTCCACAGGCATTTAGATATGCCCAAGGACATGTGCATTTCAAATATATTATAGCCCATGATAGCAATTTCTTTTCCTCAGCCCTTGAGCTGAATAGTTTTGGGAGTGTCTCCTCAGCTACCTCCCCCTCCGCCCCATCAGGTTTGCCCCACCTAACGCTGCTCTCTTGGCCACAGCTGGTGAACTAAGCCATAGACCCACCCTGAGCCACACCATCCAGGTTCCTCTACTGACTCAAGCTGGGCCAGTCAGCCTCTCTCTCTCTCTCTGACATTTGACATTTGACATGCCACACAGGTCAGTCTCAATGCAGTTCAAGACTGGGGTGGCCACTTGCCACCTTGTGTTTGGGGCAACTGAGCCAGTCTTCAAAAAGAGAAGGCGGGGATAGATATGCAACAAGACCCAAGAAACCAGGAACCCAGGTAGTCAAAGTCCCTTACTCTTTGCTTCTCTCCATGATATAAGCTGAAGGCCTTGATTTCCCAGCCTCCCTTGCAGCTAGAGCCAGCCATGTTGTTCAGTTCTGGCCAATGACCTGTGAGTGAAGGCCCCTGGGGAAGCTTCCCCTCCAGAATAAAAGACAAGGCTTCACCAGGTGTGAGCTTCCGTCCTCTGTCTCCTTTCGATCTCCTGAGCTCAGGCTTGGAGCTGCAGCCATTTGGGGGCTCTTTGGGCAACCAGCAGAGCCTGACCCCACCAGCCAAGGATAATGGGGCGGAAAGACAAAAGGGTCCAGCACCCTGAGCCCTGCACCCTACCTTACCTCTACCTCTCCATCTTATGTGGGAAATGAATAAACCCCTCTCTCCTTAAGCCACTGTAGACAAATAACCTCCCTAGAACAAACCATTCAAACCTTGCTCTAGAACAAGCCACTCAAGCCTTAGTAAGATTGAGAATGATAAATCGTCTCTCACGCTTCCATGGCTCCAGTTTAGCACCAGGGCTGGCCTGGGCTGGCAGAGCTAAGACGGGGTGGTTTAGAACAGCCTTACCCGCCCACCTGCTCCCTGGCAGGCCAGTGGGGCTAGGGCTTGGCTCTCCAATGAGGCACTTTTTTCCCCGAGAGGACACGTGGCAATGTCTGGATACAATTTTGGTTGTCACAACCTGGGGGTGCTACTATCCTCTGTGGGTGAAAGCCAAGGACAGGCCCCAGAATTGCTCCCCACAACAAAGACTTATTTGATTCAAAGTTCAGCAGCACTGAGTAGGAGAAGCCCTGTTCTGGAGACACCTCAGCTGGGACACTCTGTCTCTGCCTGGTGTGGCCGCTTATCAGCCGGCAGGCGAGGGCAGGCGTGGTCACGTGGTGGCGGGAGCAGGTGCGGAGAGCATCAGGAGAGAGCAGTCCCCAGAGCACAAGCTCTCGTCTGCCTTGCGTTCATTAATAGCCTGTCAGACAAAGCAAGTCACGTGCCCAAAGTCCGTTTGGGAGGGGCTCCAGTTTTCTTCCTGTCTCCCCAGGCCCGAGGTCCTGTTATTTGAAGCTGAAGTCACTCCACAGGCAGAGAAGGACAAAGTTGCTTTATTCCTGATGACTTTCTGCCTCCCCATTTCTTCCCTCGGAAAGGCCAGTTCTAAGCCTTGGGTGCTACTAAGACCCTGTGTCTCACTGGGGAATCTTTGGTTGGAAGCAACAGAAGCCGCCTGTGGCTAAGCTGAGCGGCAAGGGAGTGGACTGAAAGGAAGTCAGCAAGGTAGAAAACCAAAGGGCGAGCAAAGCTAAAGAGCCAGGTCAGTCAGGAATCGCCCCCTTTGGGCTTCAGTTTCTGTTAGGTGCAATCAAAATGGCTTTCACTCTGCTGTCCAGCCCCCTTGGGCAGCTCTGAGAAGCCGCCGGCATCCTTTCCGCTGGGTCGCACTGAGGTAAAACCAGGCACCAACAGCACCACCCCCCCAAAACCCTCAAGCTTCTGATCCTGACAACTGCCTTCCTTGCTGTGGTAGGCCTGGGAGTCTCAGATTCGCGGCTCAGCAGGGAAGGTGCCCTTCTCCACAACTTGGCAGAGCAACCAAAGCCTGATGTGTGGAAACCAGATTCGTGATGTTTCTATTGGGGAAAAAGCAGCTTCCGGATCTGTGAGCTCCTCCCAGGTAGAGCGGCACCCAGTCTTTTAGGGTCTTGGAATGAAAGCGACAGACCCACAGAGATCGGAAACCCGAACCCCACTAATGGTAATATGTTCCTCTTTCTCATGCTGCAGCCCGAGGCAGGAGGTAGGGCACCCCGGAAGGTTAGACTATTTCAGCTTATCAGCTGGCCTCATTTCCATCAAGATGTGCCGCTTACATCCGTCTGCTCAGTGTCCCAAGTTATTTTGGGCCAATTCATGACCTTTTGTGCCTGCTTTTGTTTTTAAACATTTTTCTCTGCCCATCTGCTCCCCAAGCCCCCGGGGCAATGCCTTCAGCCCACAGCTGGGGCACCTCGCTGTGCTTCCTCTGCTCTGGGGCACACTGCTTTCACCCCTGAGACCCTAAAATACCAGAAGCAGAACTTGTCACCTCTGGCTAACTGTGGTTTCAGCATCACAGAGATCAGAGAGGCCCTTTGTCTGATAGATTACCAACCTTCCTTCATTCCAGCATAAACAAGGATGCCTCCTGGCACCAGGCACCATGATTCTGGGCTGCCCTCTGGTCCGGGCTTTGCTCCCAGTTTGTCCCCGTGCTGAACTGCTGCCCTCTGGGAAAGGCGTCACCAGCAAGCTGTCCTTTCCTGGGTCTGTTGCTCAGGAGAGCTGTGCTGGGACACTCCTGGCTTCCTGTGGGATGATTGCTGGGCATGTGGCCACGTCCTCTCCCATTCTCTGTGCCTGTCCACCCTTGAGGTTTAGTAGCTAATAATAGTGACTACTTTTTATCATGTCCTTGCCTGCCACCAGGCATGTGGTAAGCGGGGTCCAGACATCATCCCCTTTAATCCTCACTGTCTGTATTACTCTGAGTCCAGAGTAGGTAAGTAACCTGCACAAGAAAGGCAGAATCCAGACTTTGAACTTTAAATTGCTCAAATTAGACAACTTTCCTCAGTGAAGCCAGGAACCAGCGGGTTCTTCTATGCCTCTGTGGTGGGGGAAGATCAACAAATTTTCCCAGTAGAAGCCCAGAGTAAAAGCTCCTTTGCTTTGCAGGATTATAGCTTTATGCGCATCGCCGGGTCTCTGTCTCCACCACTCAAGTCTGCCTCTGCAGTATGGCACCTAAACGAAGCGTGCCTGTATTCCAATAAAACTTTATTTATAAAAATAGCCAGCGGGCCAGATTTGCCAGCCCCTGTGTTAGACGCTCCCCTAGACCAGATGACTAACTTCTGCACATGCCGCCTGGTGCAAAACCCCTGGGAAGCCAGGTTATCATCTCCCGGATGAGAGCACTCTGACTGCCCCACACCAATGAAACCCTGACATAGATGTTCCCACTTAATCCTCTCAAGTACTCCAGCAGGAGATAACTTAGTGCCATTTTGCAGTGAGTGCCACTGAGGTTAGAATGGTAAGGTAACTCGCCAAGGTCACCCCGCTGAGGTTCTCAGCTCCAGTTCCTACCCATGACACCGCAGTACCTTCAAGGGCACAGCCCTCCATGCAGACAAGGACGAGTAGCAAGGACAAGCTTGGGGACCTGCTGTTCACTGAACCGGGCTTCCAAAAGGCAGCCTGCAGCTCCCATGCTAACCTGCCCCTGCGGAGAGTCACATGCTCTCTCTCATTAATATCGGGGGTCAGGGGTCCCTGGCCAAAGCACCCCTTTTTCAACTGACTTTGCCTGTTTGTACATGACATGAATTTCACAACTCCCCTTTCAGCTTCTGAATTCGCAGGTGCCCCCACAGCTGTCACACACGGGGGCGCTTACCCTCCAGTGACTCCTTCCCCCTGCCACTGGGCAGAGAGCTTGCAAATGACCTCTGAGCCGTATTGATGCCCAGGGGCAGAAGGTGAGCCCATTCGATCCCTATCTGATGCTGCTGACGGAGGAGTAAGGGACAGACACTTGAGAGGCTTGTTTTTAAGAGCTTCTGTTAACTTTTGTGTTAAGTCATGTGGTTAGAGAGGTGTCACTTTAGCAGCTTCTCTTTCTTGGCAATGACCTTGAGTCCGAAAAATGGGCCACCCGGTGCTGTAGAGGGATCTCAAAGACCTAATCTGGCCCCAGCCCTCTGACAGAGGTCATCACCCATTCATTCAGCAGTCACTCACCCAGCACATACTCCCAGTAGAACTTGCTGAGCCCTGAGAAGCCAAAGTTGAACCAGAAAAAGAGGTTCCCCGCACCCGCCTCCTGCCCCCAGGAAGGGTGTTAGAAGAGAAAGTGGTACAGTGGGGTCAGATATTATCTGTATAAGCGCCGTGTGCCAGCCAAAGGAGGGTTTGGCAGGAAGAGTTATAGCCCCCCTCAGTTCCCCAATGTGGGGCTGACCCCACCCACTGGCTTCTTCACACCGGCTGGCCCTGCTCCCCACTGCAGCCATGTGCAGAATTCCAGGCCCAAAGCCCGGGGCACAACACACTTAATAAAGACGCCTGGAGGTCGATGCACAGTACTGTCACTGAGTCATATAAAATCAAAATCAGCTGCCCGTATTATTACCAGCCTGGAAGGAGTCCAGGAAGGCACTGAGGGGCAGCATGGCTGGGCTCAAGCCACAAGGTACATACAGGCGCACACACGGAGCCTTGGGGAGTTTAAAACAGGACTGAGACTCGGCCTGCCTGGTGCTATCTGTGGGCACTGAATTGCCTGGGGCCAAACAGACCCAGAAAATGACATCAGTTTTGTGCTTTTTCCTGCCTGCCCATTTATGCCTAGGCAATTCATTGACAAGATCTTGGTTTGCAAGTAGATTCGTAGCATCTACAATAACCATGGAGAGAACACTGGGACCTGAAGTTGGACGGTCGCTGTCCCCATCACACCCACGCCTCCTGCCCTGCTCAGGTTGGGATACCACCAGCCTGCCACAGCTCCTGCCCCAGCTCACCCTTCCATGGCTTCTAGACTCTGCCAGAGGCGCAAAAGCCAGACCAACCAGGCCGTGACCCCCTTCCCTGCTATGGTTCCTCCGATTGCACCAAACGAGTGTCTGGGCTGTCTCCAAACCCTGACCTCTGTGCATCTTTCTCAATCCATCAAGGGCTCCCTGGTGACTCCAGAGTGTTTGTGATGATTCATTAGTAAGCTGGTATTTGTAAAGTGCTAAATGAGCGCCGCAGTTTAGGAGAAAACTTGATCTCTGCCGGCCTCCCTAATCCCTTCTTGTTTTCACAGCATCTCTATCTCTCCGCTGCAGGGACCACCCAGTCCTTGCAGGAATGCCCCTCAAAGTTCACTCCAACTGCCCGCTACCTGAGAACTCTCCCACCCCCTATCCCGTTTCTTGCCCCTTTTTCAAAGTGCTGTTGTTTTTCCTAATATTACTTTCCCCTCCCCAAAAGACAGTTAGTTATACAAGTCGATGTGGGAGGAAGGCGAAACGGTCCGTGATGACTAAGTCGGCATGCTGCTGGAATAGTGTCAGAACCGGCTCTCGCTCACCCATGCCTCTGTAAAAATCCTTTGCCGAGGGTGTGATTTTTCCTGAAGATCATTCTTTCCACATGACCAAATGCTGTAATGTAGAACCAGGCCAGATTATTTGTTTCTCCCCTAATCTACGCTTGGGGCACAGCATTCTGAGTCATTCAAAGTGATTTCCTCTAATGAACAGGCGTGGCTGGTTCCTGGAAGGTTTGTGATCAATCAGTCCTCCCAGCCCACCCTGCTTGACCTCTCTTCAGGACTTCTTTCATTTCTGGATAAATCCTGCTGTCCAGTGAACTCAAAAGGAAGAAGTTCAAATAAAAGATAACTGGGCCTCCTTGGTGGCACAAGGGGTTAAAGTCTCAGCACCATGAGGCTGTCAGCCACTGAGTTCGATCCCCAGCCAGGGAGCTGACCCACAGGGTGCAGCAGACCTCTCCTGTCTCCCCGCTGCTCCCCTCAGCAGTGTGTTTCAGTAGATCTGCCTATTCTGCTCCCCACTCTGTCTCTGGTGAATCCTCGCACCTCTAGCCCGCACCCCACATCTTGTATGCATAAATAAGTAAAAAACCAAAAAAAAAAAGAAAAGACAGCCCCACCAGCATACTTCTCTGGTTTTCAAGTTGATTCACAGCTGTGGGTCTGCACCCAAAGCCTCTGAAATGGGACAAAGCAATGGGCAGCTTGACCTCCCAACCTGTGGTCACAGTCTCTGGATCATAAAACCATGAGGATTTGTGAGAAAGTCAACCCAACAGGTGTGCTGGCTTACCCAGCCTGCAGTGAGTGAGAGCGGCCCTGTTCTGCTCCCATCCATAATATGCAGTAGGCCACCAACAGGAACCCCCCCCCAACTGCATCCCGCAGCTCCCCTGGCCCCCCCAGGGTGGGCCCACACACGTCAAATGGGTATTGGACCGGGAGGCTTAACCCACGCCACCAGGGTGCATCGTTCAAACACAAGCCCCAGATTTGCACATAAACCTAAGTAGTTTTATCAGAAGGTGAGCCCTCCCCCATGACTACATTGCGACCCGCTGCCTCCCACATCAAGCAGAGGCAAAACGCGTCATGATAAAGGCAGCCCTGTTCCATCCAGTATGAACCACACTAGGCAGACAGTTGAAATTGACCAGACATTTTAAGCATCCGCTATGTGTGAGGAAGGCTAAGAATTTGGCAAAGCCAAGTAACAGCAGACAGCATTTTTCAAGTTTTAGTCTACACCTGCCCCTGGTCATTTGCATTCATCGAAAAACAAACTATTATGCTTCTCTTGGATCCTCTGAGGCTGCATGTGAGACAGGAAGAAAATATGCCTTTTGCAAGGAGCTGGACCACACTGCCCAAGACTGACCCAAACTTAATTCCCAGCCTAAACAAACAAAATCAGGTCACTTGAGCCTGAAGATATTTACTGGACTCAAAAAGGATGGCAAGAATAAGTTAATAAAAGTTTCACATGTTCTAAATCCTAGAGCTTATGTTGTCGTTTTCTCAATTTCATTCTCTTACAAATGCCTTTTGAATTAATCCGGCAATATTCTTAAACGGAGGGTCTGTTCTGTGTACATCAGCCCATGACAGCTTGCTGCCTTTAGATTCCTAACCCGGCCTTTCTCTGCGCATTAGCTGGTGCGAGCAGTTTCTGGAACTGGTTTCCAGCATCCTCCTAATATGTCAGAGGATAAACCCAAAGAACAATCCCCCTCCACGTTAGAGATTCAGGGAGCAGGGTTCCCTGGCTGTTTAAGGCAGATTTCTGGGTCCTACTCCAGCCATCACTTCAGTCTGCCTGCATTAGAGCCTGGGAGTCTGTATTACTAACCACGCTGCCTCCCCTTGGTTCTGATGCTGGGGTCCACAGTTTTGCACCTCTCCCTGAAGCCTAATCCCATGAGTTTATGGGGTGGACCTCTCTCCTCTGGGGCGAAAGTGGCGACATGAAGAGCTCCCGGCCAGCAAAGTGCCAGGCTAAGGCCCTGGCCCGGCAGCTACACCCCACACCGGTGGAGTCGTCCCCTGTGGGGAGGGGGGCAGGACCAGCCCCTTCCCCCTGTTCCCCTCTCTGCCTGTTTCCAGGCCCTTTCAGGGCTGAATCCCAGCCCCAGCTCCACGAAGCTGCTGGTTCCCCCTTTTCAAAAGACAGCAGCTCCCGCCCTGGGTAGCTCTCTGTGGCCCTGGGTAGATCTAAGCGGAGCTCCTGCCTGGGGTCCACCTTCATCACGCCCCTGCAAACCTCACAGATAACACCAGCGATTAACACCCAATCGTCTCCATGGCAACCGACGGGGTGTCACGGACCACGATGACGACTTCACCGCCTGGAGATTCCACAGAAGAGGTTGGGGGCGGCGCCCCCGTGGGCCCCTGACCTACAGCCAAACTGCAGGACGGGAACCCCTCTTCCTTCCCGCCTCGGTCCCAGGCACCCCCGCCCGACTTTCTCTGGCTCAGCAGCCACAGAGCGGACCGAGAAGGGGGGGTGAATTTTTAAGGACGCCCCCAACTTTGCAGGGGCAGGGGAAAGGAGGGTGGATCCCTCGGCCCACCGGCGCTGGGGG